GTCCCCGAGGAGGACAGTTCCAAAAGCTACTGCCTTATTCAACACAGCTAGTCCACGAAGGGGTGGAGAGCTGAGAATTCCAAGCCCACAGGAGTATACACAGGGCCCATATAGACAGCCTGTTCCCAAGCATCCACAGTGTCCACAGAGCAGCCCAGTGCTTGTGGATAATGGAGTCTGCCCAATGGCATGTGCTAAAAGAGTGATCCATCTACTGAAAACACACTGGAAAGAAACTACATTAGTGGCCTCTGAGAGCCAGGGAGGTCACAGGGGCAGAAGTGTGGTCAATTAAACATACAGACACCCTATTGTTGTTGGTTGTTTTTACTCTTTTACTCTCTGGGGGCCCACCACCCAGCTCCCAAATAAATCACACACGGAGGCTTATTCTTACTTATAAATGCCTGGCCTTAGCTTGTCTTATTTCTAGCCAGCTTTTCTTAACTTTAAATTATCCTGTCTACCTTTGGCCTCTGGGCTTTTTCCTTTTCTTATTTCTGTACAATTACTTTCACTCTTACTCCGGGGCTGGCTGGGTGGCTGGGTGGCTGGGTGGCTGGGTGGCTGGGTGGCTGGGTGGCTGGCCCCTAGCATCCTCCTCTCCTTGTTCTTACTCCTTCTTCTTCCATATTTCTCCTCCTGTTTATTCTCTCTGCCTACCAGCCTCACCTATTTCTCTCTCCTGCCTAGCTATTGTCCATTCAGCTCTTCATTAGACCATCAGGTGTTTCAGACAGGCACAGTAACACAGCTTCACAGAGTTAAACAAATGCAGCAAAAAAAGAATGCAACACATCTTTGCATCATTAAACAAATATTCCACAGCATAAGTAAATGTAACACACCTTAAAATAATATTCTACAACACCCTATGCCTTGGTCTGCTCTCTATTGCTGTGATAAACACTGGGGCTAAACACAACGTGGAGAGGAAGAGGTTTATTTTAGCTTACCACTCCAAAGTCACAGTCTATCACTGAGAGAAGGCTGGGCAGGAACTGAAGCATGGGCCATAGAGGAATGCTGTTTACTGGATTGATCTGCCTGTTTTCCCATGTAACTCAGTATCAACTGTCCAGGAGTGGCACTGCCCAAAGTGAGCTTACCACATCAATAATTAATTAAGAATATATATATATACACATATATATATGCCTATAGATCATTCTGATGAGGTGATTTCTGTTAAGATTCCCTCTCACAAAATATATCCATGTTTGTGTCAAGCTGACAAAACATCAGTCAGCATACTCTACATACACACAGATGCCACAGAGATAAATGCTCAAACACACACACTTCACGTACACACACCCACAAACACACACTATATCATATAGTGACAGGTATGCATATAATAATATATACACCACACATACATGCACATGCCATACATGTAGACACATAGGCATAGCACAGACATAGAAAAACACACACAGCACAAACACATATACACAGCACACCCACATAAACTCATAACACAAACATTGAAACACAGCACGCAGGTATAAACACACACATACTAACATATGGCACACACAACACAGACCATATATACACACAGTCTCACACATGCTACCTATAGGCACAGACTTGTCCACGCCCAGGTCTATCCACATGTGTCTTGGTAAGTTTTTGCACTTTGCCAAACCTATAATTCCTTTTGTAAAGTGGGCAACCTCATCCCGGCTGGATGAATCATGACGAAATCCCAACAGGATGGTGATTGCCAAGGATTCAAAGCCCTGAACAAATTATGGTTCCTTCCCCACAACCTTCCTTCTCACAGGAGATAAGGGACATGCATTTCCTTAGTATGTGAAAGCTGGCACCAGGGGATTATACAGGGTACTGTCACTGGATCCCTTGAATGGAGTTCCCCACCCTCTCTAGGAGTAAGATTCTGAGGCGCTTGCTCAGCAGAGTGGCTAGGAAGGGACCTAGGGCTGGAAAGATAAAAGCCTGGGTGGTACAGACAGTGAGAGCATCTGACCTCAGATCCATACCCCTTCTCTCTGCCTCCAACCCCAAGCCCCTGTACACTCTTATATTTTTGGTTGTGAGCCTAGCCTTTTATGGCTGAGCCATCTCTCCAGCCCAACCTCTCTATACTCAACCATGGGGAGGGAGGACCTGTGGGCAAAGCCCTTGCTGATGCAGAGTGAGACATACCCCCTAGACTAGGTAAGTGCACATGAGTATATTGTGGACTGAGATTCCTGGGGAAAAGCCACAGCTCACCTGTGTTAAAGAGCCTACAAAGCTGATAGACTGATGAGAACGTCCATGATTGTGGAGAGCTGGAATGTTGAGACAAGGAGAAAAGCTATCTTGGCTGCATGTACCCCCCTTAACAGCATCCATTGCCCCTCTGTGTGTGACCTAACATTTTTGTAACTATCAGATGCAATTGTTTAGGGATGCACTAACAAACCCCCTAGCTTCCACCAACCTGGAAGCTAAGCATGCCATCAGATAATATCTGAAACCTCTAACACAAACTTCTCTGCTCTGCTGTAACCCACCTACCTGATGTTCCCACCAATGTATTTTAAGAGTGTCTTAATTTATGGCTTTTTGTTCCATTGCCATAAAAACTTAAGAACCAAATCCTTACCATGTTGGAAGGTGGTATTTGGGGAAACATGAATCCGTGTTCCTGGGCTATAACCACTCAAATTTGGCTTCAGAATAAACTATCTTTTTCTTTCTTTGGAGAAAGAGTTGTTTTCATCAACAATATATAGGCAGTCAGGCACACAATACACATATAGACACACTGGCACACCTGGACATATGTTACACACACACACACACACACACACACACACACACACACACACCCTTTCCAGTGTGTCTTTAGAAAGGGACTTATCCTTATAGCGCACACACACACACACACACACACACACACACACACACACACACACACACACACCTGTGCTGGCTCTGTTAGCTACTGGATCCAGTCACCTCGGTGGACATTGTGAGGTGCTTAGGGACATACTTTCTGTCCTGATACCATGTGCTCTCTGAATGTCCAGGGTTCTCTCTGATAGACTCCCTGTCTGAGGACCCTCTGTCTCTGACTGATCCCATCAGGTCTGGCCATCCTGTTCAAGTCCAGATCACCAGATCACTGAAGTTCCAGCCCAGCTTAGCATCATCATTAATGCACCTCAGAGAATCTTCTAGCATCTCGGCTCACCCCCACCCCTGCACCCTTGTCTCCAGCTCTGGTTTGGGAGTAGTGTAAAGCCAACTTGAGTGTAGAGAGTTCCCTGCAACCCAAGATGGTACTATGGACTCAAGATCCCCGCTCGGCTGTCATGTCACCTGCCTCTCTGGGAGTGCATGTCACTGTCCTTCAACGGCTCATGCCCCAGTGAGGCAGAATCATGATGACAGCTGACACATTCCTCAGTCGTCGCTGGACTGAGTACTGTATTATGAACTATTAAAATTCTCGTGACAACTGTATGAATCACCATGGTGATCACCACTTTTCAGATGGGGAAAAGGAGACACAGAAAGTGAATAACTTTTGGAGGTTTGCCCAGCTGCTAAGCAACAGAACTTGGGTCCAGTTCCAGGCAGGTGCCTCAGGAGCAGAAGCTGCACCAGACAACGAAAGGCATGATGGGAGCTTTGGAGGGTCAAGATAAACAGAAATCAAGAAAGATGTGAACAGCCAGGCAAAGAGGAAGATAAAACTGGAAAAAAAAATATCAGCAGATGTTTGTGACCAAAGCCCAGGGAAGAAACCAGCAGGAACCAGAGGAGAGCTGCTAGTTCCTGGGGAAATTCTCTGAGAGAACTCTGAGGGTGCCAGGATTCTGCTTCAAGGCAAAAAGCTCTCTGTTCACTGTCCTTCTTTCTGCACACACCCTGCCCCAAGATGGCAGCAGAGAGCAGGCGGAGCAAAGGAGCTGCGGACTGTGGAATTCGCTTTGCTAGGGCAGTCAGCCTGCTGGTATCCATTTGTCTCCATAAATTAAGCCCATTAAATAAAATGTTTGCATTAACTAAATTCTTTGTTACTTTATGGGCTGGCTCCATGAAAGGGCATCTTCCTTTAGCAGCCCTCTCCGAAGACTTCCAAATTCACTTCCCTAGCATCACTCGTCATCCCAATCGCCTGAGTAAGCAAAGATTTGTGGCGACATTGTTCAGAGATTTCTCTTTCTCTTTTTCTAATGAGGTCATGTGACCTTCAGAAAATGCTCTCATTTTGTGGATTCTTGGCAATAAAGGAGGGTAGATGACCTTGGGTGAAACCTGATCTTATCTAGTCTTTTCCAGTCTATCTGCAAAAACATGAGAATTTTAAGTTCACAAATCAAGAGTGCTGATGTGTTTCCAGTGAGGTGAAGAACTAATTGTTTACAGCTCATAGAAAAGTTTGGAGCCAATTGAGGATGGCCTGACATAAACAGCCACCGGAAATGCCCTTGAGAAGGCAGGTTAAATACAGCCTGAAGCTCATGCTTCTTGACCTCATATTTCTATAAAAAAGAACAATTCCTGCCTTATACCGCCGAAACACTGCTGTGTTTGTGATGAATGTCTTGATAAACTTGTAACAAGCTGAAAATACCACAGGCTGCAATGCACCAAACGCATACCCCACATTACCATAACCCACAGAGCAGCTTTGTAGCACACCACCCTACAGGGCTGGTTGTCTCCCAGGTGACGGGCAGGTGCCTGGGACAGCAGCTTCCTGCCACTGCCCAGCATGCTGAGAAAAGCCTGGACCTTCCAGGCTACCACAGGAACTAACGTCAGCTTCTTCTAAATGTCTGTCCTTCATATCATAAGAAAGTGGGAAAGTCACTAAATTGATCCTTGTTAGTAAGGACCTCTGTGCTTGATTTCTTAACTTTTAAGTTTTCCTGTCTCACACAGGGTCATTACTGTATTTTACATGCAAACACATAAACACAAGGAAATGTGTGTTACAACAGACTGGAGACATAAATCATCCCACAATAATATGTTTTTTTATTATTTGTTTATTTCATAATAACCTTTCCAACAGATGGGAGATGGTATCTCTTGGTTCTGAGTTGCATTTCTCCACTGATTAGTGATGCTGATCTCTTTTTTCATTTTTAAATGTGGTTGGGTTTTGAGATTCTAATTACATTTCTCCTTTCTCACCTCCAAATCCTCTCTGTACCTCATCCATTCTCTTTAAATTCACGACTAGTTTTCTTTAATAATTGTTGTTTTGTGTGTGTGTGTGTGTGCGTGTGTGTGTATGCGTGTGTGTATAGTCTTACATACATAAATGCATCCTGCTCAGCCTGTATAATGTTACTTGTATGTATACATTTTCAGGACTGACTATCTGGTATTGGATAGCCAGTTGGTGTGCTCTTCCCGGGGGAAGACTGTTTCTCTCATTCTCAGGATTCCTTAACTGCCTGGAGTTCTTGGTGTAGTCTTGAGGCCTTGTGGGCTTTCTCCTGTCCACATCAACATGTCTACTGCTGTTGTCCTTGTTCAGGTCATGTTTGGGCAGTCATGATGGTGAGACTTTATGGGTGTAGTTTCTGACATTTCCAGAAGACAATCTCACAGCAAACTCCCTGTTCCTCTGGCTCTTATGATCTTTCTGCTCACGCCCCTTCTCAATGATCTCTGAGCCTTAGGTGCAGAAGTTGTGCTGGAGATGTATCATTCAGGGCTGGGCTCCACAACTCTGCATTTTGATTGATTGTGGTTTTCTCTAATAGACTCTGTCTGTTGCAAAGAGAAGTTTCCTTGAAGAGAAGTGAGGACTATACTGGTCTGTGGGCATAAAAACAGATATTTAGACTGTAGTTAGGGATAACACTGGTTTAGGAAAGTAGTAGTAGCAGGCTTTTCTCCAAGATCTCTGACTTCCTTAGCCCTGGGTAGCTGGATATGTATCCAGTGCCAGGCATGATTTTTTACCGTAAGTATCATAAAGTATTTGGGTGTGTGATCTCAGCAAGGTGGAAACCAGTTGTTCAATAATGACCTAGACTACATAAAAAAAAAAATTCAAGGGAGCTGGAGAGATGTCTCAGAGGTTAAGAGCACTGGCTGTTCTTCCAGAGGTCCTGAGTTCAAGTCCCAGCAACCACATCATGGGTCACAACCATCTAGAATGAGATTTGGTGCCCTCTTCTGGCATGCAGGCAGAACACTGTATACATAATAAATAAACCTTTAAAAAAAATTCAAGGCTAGCCTGGAGTTATGTTGCAAGACCTTGCCTCAAAAAACCAATGGGTAGCCGGGCGGTGGTGGTGCACGCCTTTAATCCCAGCACTCGGAAGGCAGAGGCAGGCAGATCTCTGTGAGTTCAAGGTCAGCCTGGGCTACAGAGTGAGTTCCAGGACAGGCTCCAAGCTACACAGAGAAACCCTGTCTCGAAAAACAAAACCAAACAACAACAACAACAACAAAAAAACAAAAAAAAAAAACCAAGGGGTAGAAACAGAGTATCAGTGGTAGAGAGCTTCCCTGGCATTCACAAGGCACTGGGGTCCATACTAGGTGCTTAGAAACAGAGAAAAGACAGTACTAGAAGAAGAACACATTATTATGACTTCACACACACACACACACACACACACACACACACACACACACACATACACACACACACACACCTAGAACCAGGGATTCAAACAGCACAGTAAACACAGGGACTCATTAGAGGCCAATGCTGGCTCACAGACATCAGCAACAGTGGCATGGCAGGCTGGTTTCCACGGGGCGGGGGGTGCACACTCCATGTACCTGGTGGCAAAGATCAGCTGACTTTCAGTTTCTCTCTTGCACCACAAAGCATTAATGGAAGAATGCTGCCGGGGGACCAACCTTCCGGCTCACTGCCAGGTGTCTGCGGAGGCGCCAAGAACAGTCACAATTTACAGCAGACCCGGAACGGGATGAATGGAGAATATGGTTAGGTTGTTGATTCGGGATGGAAAAGGTCAATGGGTTTCCAAGGGAGAACCTCCAAGCGCCAAATGTCCCATCTTGCATCTGTAGTTTATGAACTCTGAATTCATCGATTTAACCCCCAAATAAAGATCCGAGCATATCTTCCAGGTGTCAGGAACTAGTCCCCGTTTGGGGGTGCAGCAGGAATAACACTGGTGAGTGAACCCAAAGAGTGGGAGGATGAACAAATCAGAGAACGAAGGGCAGTGCTATGACTTGGTTGAGTGTCCCGCAAAGGTCCTTGTGTTAAAGACCTGGTCCCTGCCAAGCGGTGGTGGCACACACCTTTAATGTCAGCGCTGGGGAGGAAGAGGTAGGTGGATCTTTGTGAGTTCAAGGCCAACCTGGTCATCTAAAACAGCCAGGGCTATACAGAGAAATCCTGTCTCAAAATAAAAAAAAGAGGAGTGGGGAGAAAGAAAGAAAGACTTTGTCTCTAAGTGGTACTGGTAGAATCTTTAAGAGGCAGAACCTCATGGGTGACCTTAAGGTCTTTCAGGAGTATGCCCTCAAAAGGGGCTGTGGGACCTGTCTGTCTCTCCTCTCTCACGGCTTTCTGACTGAAGACGTGACCTGTTCCCACCATGATATGCCTCCCTCACCAGAGGCCCGAAGCAAATACGCCTCCAGAACCATGAGGCAAAACAGAGCTCTCTTGATTTCATATGTAGCACAAGTTGGTTATCGCACTGCAGTAACACAAAATTAATACAGGAGGCAAGCAGAGAAAACCAAAACCGGGAGGAGGATGGGTGATTCTCAGTGGGGTTGGCCTCAGTGGAATGCTAACAACAGAAACTCAAAGATGAGGCCGTGGTACTGTAGCTCTCTGGGGAGAGAAGGGTCTAGACTCTGGGAACAGGGAGGGGGAGTGTGGCTAGGGCTTGATGATGAGGGGGGAGGGGTCAGGTGAAACATGGCAGGTAGAGAGGTGGGGACACACTGGGTAGCCTGGCTATTAGCCTGTTGGAGAGTTTCCAACACAGAAAGGGCAGGTTTAGAATGAATTTGAAAAGGATCTTTGTTTCTCACCCAAGTAACACAGCAAAACAACAAGGTGTGGCTTCTGTAATGTGGCCCACAGTGGCCCACACCTTGGTAAAAATCCAGCCCAACAGGAAACTGCCAGAGGTCATAGAGAAGAATTCACACAAGAAGTCAAGAGACAGTGGTTCCAGCCACGTGGCATCATTTAGGGAAAATGCTGTCGTTCAAAATTCAGCATTGGGCAAGAAGCTAACCCACATCAAAGCCTCCTAACTTTAACAGCCTGAGGGAAAACCTAATGGTCATGTTCTCAAGTTTTTTTCACATAAATGTGAACTTCGATCTGAATTCTAATCAAATAATTTAACATGGGTCAACGAGGTCAGTCAGTGTGTCCTCTGACCTAATTTGAGCACTTCACCTCAAATTTAACTCATCAAGTGTGGTTGTAACTGCCAGGTTGGAGGAGAGGGGATGCTGTGGCTGTGGGCACAGCTTGATCTCGTGTGCACAGCTGATGCTGACTTGGGGCGAGGAGTGGCGGGGGGCGGCGCAGGAGGGGTGAGGAGCTATCCTTACTTCACAATCTGCTTTCCCACACCTTCCAGAAAGTTCTTCAGACCTTCCTATATGAACAACACTGTGTGTACCCTGAAAAATCTGCTTTCACCAAGAAGTGCTTGTATCCCTGTCCCCTGCATGCACCACAGTTCACAAAAAGAAGAGCAGTACCCTCGACCCCCATATTGTGTGAAGGGAAATCAGAAGACAGCTTTATGTTTACACAATTGCAAAGGCAAAATACAGCCAGGGTGTAGACTCCAGATTGTTAGCATGTCTACTAAAAGAAACAGCCTAATCAGGAACATATATAAGCTATATTGCATATAAATTGGCATCCATCATGAATACATAAATTTTGGCTTGGGGACTTCTATCCACGGCATACTGGCAAGCCAGACTGTAAACTAACAATATAAACGATAGCACGAATTGGAAACATCTCTAAGCTGCCAGAAAGAGGGAGAAGGCAGTGTTTTGGCTTCCAGTAAGGAAAACTCAGCAACAAGTCAAAGGATTCCTCAGGAGCTAGGGCGTGCGGGGCAGAGAGGGCACACTGGTCCCGTAATGTTTTGTGTTTGCAGATACTGAAAACAGTTATTCTTAAGAGACCTCAGCTTACAGTTGTCCCACACTGTGATATACAAATATTGCCGAGCACGCTACAAACCACACAATGATGGCTACTAACGTTTTCTTAAGGTAAACTTCACCTGTAGTTATAAAGCTCAGCTGTCTAGCAAGGAACAGGAACATCTCAGTCTAACTCAAGCATTTAACGAGTATTACTCTATTTGGGTCGATTTCTTAGAATACTTTTTGGCTCTTTAAATTGTTCATGAAAACTAGGCATTTCATGGAAAATTTCAAATATATTGACACAAGGTTGCCGACTATCACAACTAAAATCTCTACATTGTTTTCCCTTTTTATTCCTTTTTCTATTTTATCTAATAATAAGATATTAACACAGTATGTTCAAAGAATGTTGAGTTTCTTTGACTGCTTCTATTACTCTTGAATTTTTAATTTATTACTATTCTTCTGTCCTTACTTCAATCGCTCCTTTTGTGGATTTATGCATTTACTTCTATTAAAAATTACAAACAGAAATTTAAATTCACCTCTGGTGTTGGTAAAGTTTGAAAATTCACGTTGGAAATGGAAAACAAACAAAAATCCTATGAACTTCCTCTAAAGTCTATACTACTTCCTACTATTATGAATGAGATAAGTCATTTATCAGCATTTCATTTGCCCAAGAGACATGACTCGAGGACTCATGAGAGGGAGGCATTTGCTTAACTAGGAACTGAGGATGTGCAAGGTCAAGTTTGCACTCCAAGAGGGGAACAAATGAAGGGTGAAAACAGGGGCTGGAGAGATGGCTCAACATCCACACCAGGCAGTTCACAGCTACCCAAAACTCCAGCTCCAGGGGATCTGACACCCTCTTCTGGACATGGGCATTAGCACTCACAGGGCGAGGCGCGTGTGCACGCACGCGCACACACACACACACACACACACACACACACACACACACACACACACACACATGCACGCACACACATACACAAATCCTTTTTAAGTTAAAAGTGTAAGGATGATAGGTTAGCAGCAGCAGCAATCAAGAGTAGTCTTCCTAGTTACCTATGTGCTGGCAACATTTTCAGCATTTTGAAATCTTCAAATGACCCCACAGGGAAGGATGGATGGCACGATTATCATCATCACTGCTGCTTTACAGACGACGATCCTGAGGAATGAGGAGGAAAAGCCTAGAGGAGATAAACAAGACACACACCACAAACAGCCAGGCCCACACTAGGGGTCTCAGCTTTCTCTTGAGCAGGAGTTTTCTTACGTTTCCCACAGTGGCCAAAGCAGACTGGGCAAGACCCTTCCTGCGTATGACAGCGCATCTCAGAGTCCTTTGGTCCAGGAGTGAGGGTTTCCCTGCTGTCTCCTCTTTCCAGGCATCTTCTCCTGCCCGTTGTCAGGTCCGCGTCACCAGCTCATTCATCATCCGACAGATGTACTCACTCACTCAGCATCCTGCCATTGGTGAGCATGTCCCTCCTCACTCCTCTATCACGGAGATGCTACTCGCTCTGACATGCTGATGATGCCTGTTGGCTACGGCAGTCAATCCGGCTCCACCTGGGGGCGGCTGCTATTATCTCATTTGTCAAATGATTTCCTCCCTTTTTACTTGGTAAGTTCCCTTTTGATATTTCTTAGGTTTTTTTTTTTCTTCTTGTCCCCCTGGACCAATCATTTGGTTCATTTCGTTATTATCACAGAGCACTATTCCCTTCTTATTTTAACAGCCTTTCAAATTCCATTAGTCAAGATATGCAAACAGTGGAATCCCAGCTCTTGTTTCTGTAGAATAAGTCATACAGATTTTTGTGACAAAAAGGCTTAGAACTCGTGTAAAGATGATACTCAGGTGTATTCATTCCCCATGTGATATGAATATTCCATGTTCATTAAAGTGCCTACTTCCTTTCATAGGATGTAAACTTAGAAGAGAAACAAATTTTTTTAAGAAATCATGAAACAAAATTTTCTCAAAATTATACATGTGGGGTGTGTGTGTGTGTGTGTGTGTGTGTGTGTGTGTGTGATCTGTTATCATCATCATACAAAATAGCAACAGGCTTTTTTAGGTAATGGGAAAGACTCTCTGATCCCTTATGGCTTGGTTCATTTGAAAGGATGTACTTCAGGGAAATGCTGGGACTTCACTACACAGCAGAGGTCATGAAAAACACCATATGAAGTTTGTGTCTCGGCACTGGGATGATAGGACCTACCTAGACAGGCTTATATGTACAGGGAGGTGGGTAATTTTGTACTGTGCATGTGAATCTGTGTGTGTGCATCTGTATGTGTGTACATGCAGGCATACACACATGCATATGAGTATTCTTGCTGAGTTTTTATACACATAAAGCATTCACACATGCAAGCAACCCTGGCTGTGCTTACTGTGCTAACAGGCCCCTGTACTCGACCCTGTGTGACAGGGAATAATTCCATGAGTCATTTGGACAGAGCTGAGAGATATCCCAAGAGTTGGCCAAACACTGTTTCTGGGTGTGTTTGAGCTATTTTGGGGAGAGGTTAGCATTCAAATCACTGACTGAGTAAAGGAGATCCGCCCTCATCTATGGGGAGGGAAGGCAGGATCTATCCCATTTGGTTCCAGAATAGAATAAAAAGGCGGAGGAGAGGAGACTGTCTCCTTGAGTTAGGACATCCATCTTCTCCTGTCCTGGTTCTCGGGCCTTCAGATTCCAGGATTTATATCCTCCCTTAGGTTCTGAGGTCCTCAAATACTGACTAGATTATGCCACTAGATCTTCTGGGTCTCCCTACAGATGTCAAACTGTAGAATCCACCTGTCTCCATGACCTCGTGAGCTGTAACAGTCCTTCTACTGGTGTATTAGGTAGATAGCCTGTTGGTTACTTTTCTTTGAAGAACCCTAACCCACATTCCTTTCAAAACGTATATAAATATGCACACAAACAAAGCAAGCAGCGAGCACATGCCATCTAAATAAGGCCTTTCTGTAACAGAGTGGGGGTGTGTTCCAAACGACGAAGGTGCCACTGGTTGACTCTAAGGTCGATGCTTTCATGATAGCAGAAGAAATCCTTGGATAATTTTGATGAGTCACTTGAGGATAAAAGGACATTTCCTCCATGAGACTGGAGTGAATCTCAGTGACAGAAAGGGAGGAGATGAGAATAGCTGGTATCCAGAAGGAAAAGCACCAAGACGGGAAAAGACTTCACAAGAGCGGAGAGAGTCCCAATTAAAATCTGTGCCGCAAATAGGGAAAGGCAGGCCAGACACTTCCAACTATTAAAATTAAAGCTGTTTAAAGTGCTTTCTGCAGAGCAGAATGTCAAATTCCCCCCAGTTTTGCTAGTTTTATTTTCTCTCTGGATACACCACACACCCCTTTCAACTGTCTGGAGACTGGTCTCAGTGGACTCGATTCGCTGTCTCCTAGGGCGTTCTGATGTGAATACGTCATCAGTGCCCTTTTGAGCCTTTAAGGAAACAGTATGCACAGCCCTGGGCCTCTGCCAGGGCAGAACCACTGTGTCTTTAAGGCCTTTTTATAAACTGTGGTTCTGCTTCATAATTTCAGTTTAAGTGTTCTAAAGCTTTAAAAAATAGTTTAAAAGCCACTGATGATAATGAACTCAAGCAATGCTGAAAAACACCAAAAAGACAGAGAAATACATGTAAAGAGAAAGAAATGTCACATGTGGAGGGGGGAGAAGCACAGACTTGAACAATCCATCATACATGGTTCCCCAGGAGAACCCAGAACAGACATTCTGCTCTCATTACAAAATGAAACTTGCTTTGACTTCAGAATTTTCCTCAAGTTGCTAATGCCAAAAAACCTGATTGCTGAAGAATTCTGAACCTAAATAAATTGTTCTTATGTTAAAGTGACATATGGCTGCCTTTTCATACCCAGTGGGATATATGTAATATATATATATATATATATATATATATATATATATATATATATATATATATATCCACCCCAAATATATATACCTACCCAAAGAGAGCTAAAGTCAGGCATGGAGCAATAGGGAGGGTGAAACCTGGGGCTCACGAAGGACTCCCACAGAGACATGTGATGGTTCCTGTTGTCAACTTGACAGGATCTAGAATCACATCAGAGATAATGCTCTGGGCAAATCTGTGAGGGATTATCTAGATTAAGGCTAGCCTCTGAGGAAGGCTGTGAGGGATTATGTAGTGATATATTGTGTACCCTAATAAACTTGCCTAGGGATCAGAGGACAGAGCCAGCCACTAGATTAGACATAGAAGTCAGGCAGTGTGGCACACACCTTTAATCCTAGTACTGGGAAGCACACAAGCCTTCAGTCCCAGGAAGTGATGTCTGGGTAGAGAAAGGTATATAAGGTGTGAGGCAACAGGAACTCACTCTCTTTAGACTGAGGATTTCAAAGAGGTAAGAACTAGTGGCTGGCTGCTCTGCTTCTATGACCTTTCAGCTTTCACCCCAATATCTGGCTCTGGAATTTTTATTAAAAGGCCATCTAAGATTTGAACAACATCTTGATGAGGTGAATTGAGTCAGGAAGACCCATCTCAACTGTGGGCAGAACCATTCCTTAAGTGAGTGAGGATCCTGGACTGTGCAGAACAGAGAAAGCAAGCTGAACACTAATGTGCATGGCTCTCTGCTTCCCGACAGTGGGCGTGAGGTGACCAGCTGTTTCAAGATCATGCCACCTTGACTCTGCCCACCATGATAGACTGCACCCTTGAACTGTGAGCTAAAAAATAAACCCTCGCTCCCTTAAGTTGCTTGGGTTGGGCTATTTTATCAGAGCTACAGCAAAAGAAACTAAGATAAAGAGTTGGGGGGGGGTGTTGGGGAGGGAAAGAAGTTGGTATAACTCGAGTCTTTACATATAATTGTGATAAGAAGGGGTTTACATGAACAGAATAAAAAATGTCAACTTACTCACTTTTCACGTGGATATCTTTAAGTTGTTGTCCTTCTGAGTAGGCTTTATTTACGATACCATGCCTTCTATTCCAATGAGGATGAGGGAGGGTCCCTTGATCATTAACTTTGGCTGGAAAAAAATTACTCAACTCCATATTTTAAACAACTGCATCTTACTCTCTGTGAGGATGGTATTTTATCTTTGGTTTGGGTAATTTCATAAGTGGAAGACTGAACATACTTTATAAAATCAGAAGATAGACCAGAAAAGATATCATTGATAGAGTGGTTAAAAGTAAGATTCATTACAAGACAGGCAAGTCCACCTCAAAGAAACCATTGCTTTGTAAGAAGCCTAAGTAAGTGGGAAAATACAGTATCCTATGGAAAGGACCACTCATTATTACAAAGACATTAACTCCTCCCTGATGTGGTATGGATATGTGTCTGTCACAGGCCCATGTGTTGTTAAAGGGGATAGTCCTCTCTTACCCATGGAGCAACTTGGAAGTGGTAGAACCTTTAAGAGGTGGAACCTGGCGAGAGGTGTCTAGGTCATTGGGAATCACCTCCCAGAGTAGGACCACAGCTTTTCCTTTTTCCCTTGTTGTACACCCCTGAGAATGACCCAACTCTCTACATAATTCTCTCACCATGACACCCTGCCTCGCCCAAAGTGATGGAGCCAGCCAAGCAAGGATTGAAAGCTCTGGACCACTATGTCACAAAAATCTGTTCTTCCTAGAGGTTGATTATGTCAGGTGTTTTGTTATAGTGAAAGCAGGCTGATGACCACACTCCACCAATGATAGATGTAACACAGATCCAATAAAATTCAAGAAAGGATTTTTCACAGGATCTGACAAGTCACTCCTAAAACCTCCATGAAGAACAAAGGGTCAGGACTGTCAAGACACTATTGGAGAAAAACATTATAAAGACCCATGTTTGGTGAGGAGAACAAACACATAGGAAGGACTCAGCTCCCATAGTCTCTCTGTGCCTAACAGCTTCTGCTACTCATCAGATAATATCGTGTAGGTAAGGCCCTCTTCGGTCAATTTCAGTCACTTTCCAACTATTAACACACAAACCGGACACCAAAACAAAGTTGAGCCTTATGCTCATCCCTAATCGAGATTTTTGTTTTGTTAAAACACTTAAGCCTAAAGTAATTTGATTCACACATACAAAAATCAGAACACAGGATGTTTCGTTATCACCATAACTTACTGGATAGCATGAGATTACTCAGGGATCAGAGAGGAGGCACAGGAGTGGTACTCTTTATTAAAAGGAGCTGGGCATTTGAAAGAAAAGTTGGTAACTAATAGCTTATGTGGTCGACATTGTTCAAAGCTGCATAAGGAGAAACGGCTCCTCAGAACCGCATATTAAATTCACTTTCAATTAGTATGGTTCAGCATTTTATTCTTATGATTTGTATGCTTGGTGATACTTTTAAAATTAACTGTGCCATGGACAGACAGATCACATACTTCCCAGCTGTAATAATTCTCCTAATGCCATATCTTTACAACAGTAATTACCTTCTTTCTGAAAGAATACGCATTTTGAATCTCATGACACTTCATCTATTACTTTTCCTATATTAGAGCTACCTCAGCGTATTACATTTTTTTTCCTTAACGACTTTTTTCTATTAGGAGACCACAAAGGCCCCAGGGCAAAGGAAGTGCATCAGGAAGGGGAAGCATTTTAGCAGAGTTGGGATTTCTAAGGTGTACACCAGATGACTCTTGCCAAGAACACTCCAAATAGCAGATCCTCCACTTCCTGTCAAATTTGACATACATTTCAAAACAAAAGGCTATGAAGCTCACCATTAAAGTAGCAAATTAAACTACCAACACAGGGGCTGGAGAGATGGCATGGTGATTAAGAGAATTGGCTGCTCTCCCAGAGGACCCGGTTCTTACTCCCAGCACCCACATAGTGGCTCACAACCATTTATACCTATAACTCTAGTCCCAGGAGTTACATAACTCCCTCTTCTTGGGAACTAGGTATGCATATGGTACACAGACATACACACGGGCAAAACACCCATATATATATATGTTTGCACACATATATGTATACATGTATATATATGTGTGTGTGTGTGTGTGTGTATGTATAGGAATTTTATTATATACTATATATATATATATATATATAATAAAAATTGCAAAAAAGATTGCTTATGTAGCAAGTCACACACCAACATGCCACTGGTCCCCGAATTTCACATTCTCAGCTGAGGGGTCACCCTACTGCACTCTCCCCTCTGCTGGCTTGCTGGTTGGTTAAACCAGTTGGACAGAGAAGGATCCATCTGCCCCGGCAGCTGGCTCTTTCCTTGGCTGACCATAAACATCGAGTGCTCATTCAGTGTGGGGACAAAAGTCTTCACAACCAAAGATCCACTTACTGGAGCACTTCTAGAAACTACTGCATGGTGGAAGTGAGCCATCTGGGGGTCCTGATATCGGGGTGCTCAAGCCCAGGCTGAGGGAGGGCTACTACAAGGCTGTGTAAAGGCTCCAAGAACCGGCCAGAGACTCCTTCACTGCTACACTTTTTCTCAAGAGCTTTGACAGTTGTTTTTACCCCAGGCCCTTCACCCTGTGCTTTGCCTGCTTCCTGGATTTTGTTTATTTTAGAGAGCCGTGCACAGCTGCGCCTCAAAGATGGCGCCGGCGTCCGGCTTCTGCCTTCCCGATGGCAGGTGTTCTCTGGGATAAACAACTCCTTATTTGGCTTGGGCATGGAATCTGGCTTGCTTGCGTATGTCTGACCCTATCGGCATTGTCCACGTGGCACTACGGGGTTGGGTGCCCTGTGGCTATAAAGGGTGTGGGCTGGCTTTCCCCGGGGTCAGAAGATTGTTCAAGGTTCCTGAATAAACGGCAGAAAGAAGAGCTCAGTGTTGTGTCTTCCTTGCTGGTCGAGGTGGTTGCTACAGTTTATTCTGCTCTGTTGACTTGCAGAGAGTCTCCTCTGATCCATCTGCCCAAGTGCTATCTATCCAGCGCTGATGCTCAATCCCATTGTGGCCACCAAGTTCAGCGTGCACCCATCTTCTCTATGTTAACCCCAGAGGAAGCAGCAGAACATGATGAACCACACCCTTAGAATGCAAACAAGACCAACCACCCATGCTGTAGTAGTTACTGCCCCAGGACCAGAGCCAATTATGTGTTTGAAAAGGCCACGTCTTTCATCCCTAACGGGATCCTGGTCTTGAAAGGATGTTTTAAGCTCTGTACAATAGCAAGAGGTCTTCATCCTCCTTTTCTCTTATATGTATATAATTCATCCTTGATTAAGTTCTAACTTACTACTTCTTACAGCTTCTTCCCACTATACCTCCACAATCAGCCCTTCACAGATGTGGGTTCTTCATTGGCAGATTCAACAAACCACGTGTTGAAAATACTTGGGTGGGACAACTGCATTTATACAAATACAAGCTTTTATCCTTGTTGCTATTCTCTGTGCAACACAGTACAACTATTTTCATCCCATTTGCATTGTATTTTGTATTATAAGTTATCTAGAAATGATTTACAATTTATCAGAGAATAGTTTGTGCGTAAATATTATTCTACTTTAATATAAGGGACTTAAGCGTCCACTTATTTTGAAATCTACAGGGAGTCCTGGAATCAATCTCCCACTGATCTGAGGGCTGACTGTAATACTATTTTAATATTTTATGGCCAGCCGTGGGTTGGATAAGTGCCCCCAAAGGCCCATGCATTGGAAACTTGGTCCCTAGCCTATGGTGCTTCCAGGAGGAGATGGACCTTTGAGGATGTAGAG